ATGGGCTCCTTCACTTCCTACTCAGAGTCTGTGATTAAGGAAGGCTGCGGGTCTACCCACTGATGTTAAAATATAACTGAGCTGGAAGTGTGTAGATGCGAGAACTAAAATAGTCAAGAGAAAAGGGGTCTTAAAAGAAAGGATTAAAGGAAAGGGGAAGAGTCCTTTATTCAGAGAGATGAAGAGTACCCAAAACCATGAAATCTAAATAGTGTGGATACAAGGAGGGTCCATTTTCCCCAAAATCACAGAATTCTAAAAATAGAACTACATCACTTAAATGCTTAAAACTGCATGTAAGTAAAACTATTTCTCTAAACAGGATATTCATCTACAGAGGTCACTCCTCTGAGATGTATTACATAAATATCAACAGTCGATTCTTATTATTTGTTTAGTATGTTTCATAAAGTCACTGTGAAAATAAATTAGTGACTACTAATTGCTCCCAGGGGAAATACAGGGTTAGGTTTCTGCCAGCCTTTGGTAACATTTTCATCAACTGATCAGTACGTACACAACCTTGTTCTGTGTGTGTTCCTATTTAAAGACATCTTATTTAACATCTATTGTTGATTGACTAATGTGAGACTTACAGCAAACAGCAGTATAACTCATGCCTGAACCAAGCTCATCCAACACGCGTACGCGTATTTACCCATACGGCACATCACAGTCTTCCTGTGCTTAGGAACACTAGACAGCACTTCAGCACTCTGCTTAGGGGCCGTTTTAAATAGCAAAATCACCAAAACAAAAAAAGCACAAAAATGTGGAAAACAAGGTACTAAATAGACCATGGAAAGGACACTTGTTCACAGTATGAGAGCTAAAACAAGAAGGCAGCGTCATCTTGTTTGACCCCAGCTGGGCTATGTGTCAAGTGACAAAATTTTAGAACTCTGTGCACGCACACAAACGACCAATCGTGAAAGAGTCCTGAGTCTTGATTTGGGAGTTCCAAACAAATTTTAGCAAGTAGGCAAATTTGCAAAAACAGAATCCATGAATAATGAGGATGGACCGTATGTAAATTCTCATGAGACAGATCTATAGTAAAGGATGAAGGGAAACTACGATGTTCACATGGAGTCAACTCATCTTACAAGTTGAAACAAAGAAGGACAAATACTCTCCCACAAACTATCCTTTGAGGAACTCTAGAAAGAGTGGAGACAAAGATTTTAGCCAGAATAAGACGTCTTGCCAAACTGATCTAATTCTACAAGGATCTACATCAGGTAACAAGTGACACAGAACAGGGTCAGTGACCCCAGTGACTGACTGCCGTGGCTTTACCTGCTTTCAGAGCAAACCAATCCATCATCAGGATCCACTGTGGGAACCGCCACAGTTCTTCAACATAGACACAAGGTCAGGAAACCTACAGCCGACTAGGCTAACGATCTTAAGGAAAAATCTTTATGCTATACGCATTTTATGATACAGAAAAACCTCTGTGCCATATGACAAGCCCATTCTGATTACCAAGAATGATTACATGTTATCTAGAGGCCCGTAACATTCAGGCTCACTTCTACCCAGGCCTGAGCCTGAGGTTGGGGCTGGCAAATGGGAGATGCATTCCCACTAGTAACTGGGGCTGGAGATGGTCGGCTGTCTTCAATCCAGGTGCACCTTGCCTGTAGCTAGCCTCTTCCCCTAGCCTGGCTCCACATTCTGTGCTCTAAAGCTGGGGAAGTTAACCCTCAAGATTTGAAGCTGGACATGTCCTCCTTCTCCTGGGTCAAGGACAAGACAGAAAGTAAGCCACTGGTCCCACTGCAGAGGTGACAGCAACCCATGCTGGAAATATGACCAGCAACTGGTGGTGACTTTCTAAAATGAGCAAGTGTAATGTGCAAAACACTATTGCTGTGAAGGACCTGTGTTCTTTCTTAATGCCAATCTGTTGACTTTACAAAAGTATAGCCTGTGTTGCACAATCCCTTTATTTGGTAAAATGTTCTGAAAAATGCCCAAGAGATCTGAGGAACCTGAACAGACCACCATGAGCTATTTCAACAGACTGCCAACTGGAGCCACTGATCCAAACAAAATATCATAGTTCCTAAAAATTTCTCTTCATTTAGTCCTCAAGTTAAACAGAAAAATCGATGATCAAGTGAGATGCAAAATAATGTAGCTCCTGTGCAAGAGAGTATGGCAGTTCCTCAAAAAATTAAACATAAAATGACTATATATATAGTCCAGCAATTCCACTTCTGGAGACGTACTCAAAAGAAGTGAAAGCAAGGACTTGAACAAGTATTTGTACACCCATGTTCACAGCAGCATTATTCACAACAGCCAAAAGGTGGAAACAACCCAAATGTCCACTGACAGATCAACAGATACACAAAACGCTGTATACTCCTACAATGGAATATTATTCAGACTTAAAAAGGAATTAAATTCTGACACATGCTATAACATAGATGAACCCTGAAGACATTATGCTACATAACACAAGCTAGACACAAAATGGTAAATATTGTAGGGCTCCACTTATATGAGGTATCTAGAGTAGTCAAATCCAGAGACAGAAAGGAGAATGATGGCGGCTGTGGGGAGAGGCGACTGGGCAGTTACTGTTTAATGGGCACAGAGTCTCAGTTTAGGAAGATGAAAAAGTTCTGGCAACGAATAGTGGTAATGGCTACACAACAGTGTGAATGTACTTAATGCCACTGAACAGTACACTTCAAAAGAGTTAAAACGGCCAATTTTATGTTATGCATATTTTACCACAATAAAAAAAATGTTAATGATCAATAGCCGAAAGTAATTTTACCAAAGCTCTGCACCGGTAAAGAAATCAGAAGCCATTTTTATATATGACGCATCCCACGAGGTCATCAATACTACAAACTATGACTATGAGCTTAGCAGCCAATCCACTTAGAACCCCCAACCTGATTTTCTCCCAGAACCAGGGACTCGGAGGTGGGGCCTGAGAATAACCTGCAAATGTTCACCGAGGTGGAAGGGCAGCAGGGTGTTAGAGCTGCACTGCAGCACCAGCTTTTGCCCTAAGGAATCAGCCACCTGTGATGAAGAACTGTCTTATTTCTCCACCTCAGCAGGATTCTAGATACAAGGCAGTGCACAAGGAAATCTGTCTTTCCCACGTTCCTGGAATTTCAGGTTACGTCTCTGGTTTAACCCAAGCAATTCTTGACTTCATAAAGGGACAACCCTTTCAGACTAACCAAGCTGGCAAACTGATACTTTGGGAGTTGTTTACATCCAGGTAAGCAAATGTGCCAAGTCAGGGCGGATTTCCCAAGGGCAAGCGTCCAAAGCGTTAGTGGGGAAAGGAGAAAAAACAGGTGGACAACTCACCGGAGCAGCAAAGAGCTCTGTTTCATTGAACTGTCGTCACCTCAAACCTGACCTCAGTGTTTAAGGCTTTCAGAGTAGAGTTCTAGTGAAATTTCCTATTTCTGGAAAGACAAAATCTAGCTAATTTGTAGAGAAATCTGAGTATTCTCCTAAATGGTAGGAAGGAATGCAAGAGTATAACAAAGATGATGATGATGATGATGATGGTGACAATGAAGACCCCTTGATGAGAGCGTACAGTCATTGCTACATTCCTTTGCCACAGAAGTGGAAACCGGGCTTACATGCTGTAGCCTACCATAGACAAGAGGATGCCAGGCCTCCAGGATGCACAGAATTCGAAGATTAATAAGACTCTGCTCAAAGGAAGATGTGGAGGAGACATCTTGCATTTTGCCAAGAAAAGTATTCACCAGAAACAGAAGCTCTAGATAAGTAGCAACTAGATAAAAGCAGCAATACTTTAAATTTCAATTGTTTGGGTTTATCTTTCAATTAGGATTTTATTTATTTTTTAATAAAAATTGTATATATTTGAAGTATACAATGTGATGTTTTGATATACATTGGAAAACAATTACTATACTCAAGCTAATTAACATATCCATCACATTTTGTGTGTGTACGATATAACACAAGATCTACTCTTTCAGCAAATTTCAAGAACACAATACAGTTAAATGAGGTTCTGCTTTTTTTTTTAAGGCACACAGCCCAGGCAAAGAGATATCCAGGATCAAGTTTATAATGAGCCCTTCAGCTAATGACTGATGTATCTGTGGCAACTCCTTTGTGAAGACACCTAAAATCCTTAATCCTTCTATGTTAGTTAAGACCAGGGTAAACTAAGGGATAATTTTATGGCATTTCTCAATACAGAAACACTGAACACATCAAATCAGGTCCTATCATTAAAACTTCTATAAGGCACAATAAAGGGAAAGAAAATATTATACAAAAAAATAACTTGAATAAACAGCAACATAAAATAGATGAAACCGTAAGTTCTCTCCAAATTACTAAAAACAATGTAAAATTGAAAGCCTTATCCCAAACATCTATTTTCAATAATATCATTAAAAACAACCTTAACTACAGAATACAGTGAGTGATTCTGTATTTGGCATGAATTCCATTTGTATTTTTCTTTTAGTTAACAGAGTCACATTGAAGATGATTAAATAGTTAATTTAAAAAATATCATCATTCCCTTTCTCAAATACACTCTTTTCTCCTAAACTTTATAGATCCAATTTCACTGAAGGTCATTTTCAGATACAACTTTGATGTAAACGAAGGTTTTAATGAACAACCACCAGAAAATTTCCATAAACACAAATGAGATTTAGGCATGAAAACATTGAAAATCAATTTGATACTTATTTTTTCATTAGATTTTTACAAATTTAGTATTTTGCAACAGCCTGTGACCATATGTTACTGAAGGCAGACCTGATCTGATCTCACAAGAAAACTTTCATATATTGGTAAAGTCTGCTTAAAGGAAAAGAAAAATTAGTCTGATATAAATAGTTAGCTTCCCTGGTAGAGTTTAAATGATTCTATTTACAAAATTTTTAAATCACACAGAACTTTTCCAAAATACTACTGATGCTTCAGGTGAGGTACACATTTTGATACCGAATGACACTTACCTTCCGATAAATCATATGGCACATGGCTACTCTCAACCTCATCCCAGCACACTGAACGTGATAAAAATATAAGTGGTGCAGGATGGCCAAGATGAGTGTGCAGGCAGTCAGCACAAATGCATAGCCGTACGTTTCATACAAAGCCGCGGAATCGGTGGGATCATACTTTTCAAAATAATCAATAATTTTCCCCAAAAATATGGGCTGGATTATTTTGATGACTTCCTAAAAGGAAAGAAAAAAGCCTTAATTAGAAATACAAGCCAGAGCCAGCCCTGGTGGCCTAGTGGTTAAAGTTCGGCGCTCTCACCGCTTCGGTGACCTGAGTCAGTCCCCGGTTGTGGAACCATACCACCTGTCTGTCAGAAGCCATGCTGTGGTGGTGGCTCACACGGAAGAACTAAAAGGACTTACAACTAGAATACACAGCTATGTACTGGGGCTTTGGGGAGAAAAAAAAAAGAGGAAGATTGGCAACAGATGTTAGCTCAGGGTAAATTTTTCCCAGCAAAAACAAAGAAATACAAGCCATACCAGTTTTCTTAACACAAGATTTACTTAATTATTTTACTGAGGTCATATTCATTTATAACATTGTGTAACTTCAGGTGTACATCATATACATCAGTTTCTGTATAGACTGCATCATGCTCACCACCAATAGTCTAGTTTTTCTCTCTCACCATATGTATGTGCCCCTTTACCCCTTTTGCCCACCGCCCCACCTTCCCCTCTACTAATCTGTTCTCTTTGTCCATATGTTTGCTTATCTTCCACATATGAGTGAAATCATCTGGTGTTTGTCTTTCTCTGTCTGGCTTATTTCACTGAACATCATACCCTCAAGGTCCATCCATGTTGTTGCAAATGGGACAATTTTGTCCTTTTTTATGGCTGAGTAGTATTCCATTGTGTGTGTGTGTGCGTGTGTGTGTGTGTGTATTATATCTTCTTTATCCACACACACAGTGTGTGTGCGTGTGTGTGTGTGTGTATTATATCTTCTTTATCCATTCATCCATATTAGGGCACTTGGGTTGCATCCATGTCGTGGCTATTGCGAACAATGCTGCAATGAACATAAGGATGCATAAATCTCTTTGAATTGTTGATTCCATCTTCTTTGGATAAATACCCTGCTTCAATAGCTTTTATGAACTGAGATATTGGCACAAACACAGATCAGAAGAGAGAGCCCTCTAATCTTTCCCAACTCAAACTCCACAGAGAGTGGAACTGAGTATCTGCCAGAGTATTAAAAAGAAACCAGGCTTTGGAGGTTCCCAGGCTCCTGGCCCCAGGGGCACTGCTTGAGTATGTCTCTACCTCCCAGAGGCTAGGATATGCCCAGAAGTACTGCCTCCTTGGAGTCACAAATTAAACAGGAGAAGCCAAGCTAATAAATAATGTGATCAACGGTGCTCCATCAGCCACACATTGCAGGTGGTGGGTTTTTTTTTTTTGAAGATTGGCACCTTAGCTAACAGCTGTTGCCAATCTTCTTTTTCTTCTTCTTCTTCTCCCCAAAGCCCCCAAGTACATAATTGTATATTCTAGTTGCAGGTCCTTCTGGCTCTGCTATGTGGGACACTGCCTCAGCACGGCTTGATGAGCAGTGCCATGTCCGCACCCAGGATCCAAACCGGCCTGGGCCGCCAAAGCAGAGTGTGCAAACTTAACCACTCAGCCATGAGGCCAGCCCCAGGTGGTGGCTTTGAAGAAATATTAACAATCTATTCCCCTAGGTAAACATTAGAATCCTAAACCAGTGAGTTGGGAGGCACTGGGGCTCACCTCCTGAATAAAGCTTAGGGAAAGCAATTTTCTTTCCCAAGACTGAAGGCAAAGAAACAGTAAAACTCGCCCCTCCCTGTCAAATGGCCTCTCCACTCCACAACCTACTTCCTTCCTCTAGTAACTCCTTATAAGGGACCCATCCCCTCCACTAAAGAAAACCAAGCACTCAACACAAATCCAAGTCACCGAGAGCAAACACACAGAACCTCAACATCACTTCCTCCACGGACTTCTCAAAAGACAAAACGCCCAAAGTTTGGAAATCTTTCAAAAACTGGACTTTGAAACAAGCATTTCCTTTTAAGCAATCCCACCACGTTAATAAAGAATTGGTAAACATCTGACAAATTTGCTTCTGATAGCTCTCCTCTGTTTGTCTGAAGTGAGGAACTCACGCACGAGAGGGAAGAAGAATCCAAAACACCAAAAACGGAACAAAACTAACATGCATCTTCTCAGCCAAACAGCATCCTAACAGGATACTTAGAGAAAGAGGTGCCCATGCCTCAAATGGGTGTGACATTCAACTCCAACCCTCCTGTCCCACTGTACATGCATGCACACACACGTTCACAGGCTTCACCAACTGCCTCGCCTTCCATGAGGTCATGAAAGTTTTCATCTACTATACAGAGGTCTGGGAACACTGTTTAATTCAAGTCCTACGAGTAAGACAATCAGATCAAGAACACAAAGGCCCATTGTTAGATTTCCAGCATGCCCCAATCATTCATCCCAAGAGGCATTAAGAGTCTGTGGAAGAGCCCCTAATACTCTAGGTTGTAAAACAGACTGTTTTGAGTTTACTGAGATGGACACCTGGAGGTTTATACAAAGAAGCAAGAACACCAAACTGGACACACAGGCAGTCCAAGCCCAGGTGTGGCCAAAGGCAGCCGAGGCAGCAGCACGCAAGCCTGGGGCTATCCACTAGAAGCCCAGCAGTAATGCCTGCTGTCCCGAACTTTCCTGTAACTTATGACTATCTCTGTGAATCACTGCTGCCTGTTACTCAGCATTCCATTTGAGCCTAACATGGGTGTAATTATAAGAGAAAGTAAGAGTGATGTCGCCCATCAAAGAGAATACTGATAGATGCAACAAATCCAGCAAAAAAGAATGTAAAATGAAGGCAGGTCAGTACTGCCTAAGCATCTAGGGTTTTCTGCTGAGTGTTTAATAATCCAGTCAAGTGAACAGGCTCACTAATGAGTAATGCCAGTTCACAGCCCATACCTTCCCACTCACCTATCAATTCCTGATCCTAACCCTCAACCAGCAAGAAATAAAACAACTGTGAAAATATTCATTATCGAACTTGAAACTAACCAAATTAAAACTTTCTGGATAGCAGGAACAAGGTCAAAAAATGCTCACACAAACCCTTCATCTGTGACACCAACCTATGACCTAGTGAAGATTCTTTCCACAAACCAACAGAGAATATAGTCCTTATTCCTTCACAAGAATTTTTCTCAACTGGGAAACCAGAAGAGATCTTTAAAAGAGCTCCATATAATACCACAACACCCCACAGCTCAAGGTTCCACCAGTGTCTGGGTCTTTGAGGCGGGTGTTTCTTCGTCGAGTAGGTGGTATCCAGCCTCCTTCAAGTAACTGACATTTGGGCCCCACCCCTTGATTCTTAGGGTAACTTCCTTCATAACTAGATGTTAAAACTTCCCCAGGGGGCACAGTTCCTCCACCATGTCTCCCCATGTATTTGAAACACTTCCCATCCAACTCCACCATCCGTGATTCATGAGAAAAAAAAGAAGATACAAGAAGTAGAAACAAACTATCACTCTTTCCACCATGTGAGGTTACAAGGAGAAGTCAGCCATCTGCAATCGGGAAGATGGTCCTCGCCAGAACTTGACCATGCTGACACCCTTATTTCAGCCTCCAGAACTGATCACTACAGCAGAAGGCTGGGAAGGTGGTGAATTATGCACAGATTCTTAAAGCTGGCACCTGGAAGTGACATTTCTGCTTATATTTCATCAGCCAAAGCCAGTCATATGGCCATGGGCTACTTCCAACATGGCAGAGTGTGAGCCCCACAGAACACAGGGATTTTTGTCCGCTTCATACACTGCTGGATCTGACGTGCCTAGAAGAGTACTCGACAGAGAGGAGACATTCAGCAAACATTTGTTACATGAAGTAAGATTAACTTTCATCCATGGGAAGATCCTGAGAAAGTGGGACATAGGGCACACAATTTAATGGTTACTGCTATGGGCTTTAGGGAAAACTAGATCCAGGTTTGAATACCAATCTTTCCCTGAGTATCTGTGTGTCCTTAGACATTTATTTAACCTCTAAACTTTAGTTTCTACTTATAAAAGGCAGATAACAGTAGTAACTCTCTCACTTTGGGGAGGATTATAAGAAATAATGTCTATAAAACATCCAACACAGTGCCTGACCAAAAGAAAAAAAAAAAAAAGCAGCTGCTATCAAAGAAAAAAATGCTTGAGTAAAACATAAGCAGAAAAGAGTGAGCTTCTGGGAAAAATGAATAGGCAGTTAATTTTTAGAAATGGGGGAACAGGTGACAAAGGCAGAGCTAAGATAGATCCAGAAATAAAGAGGAAAAGCAGTAAATCAAGGGAAAAAATAACCAACAAGAATCTAGATAGACCTGCGTCCTCTGTCCATCAGCCGTCTTCATCCTGACTGCACGTCAGCATCCCCTGGAGCCATTAAGAGCACTCTGATGCCCAAGATCCAGCCTCCAGAGACGGGAGGTTCAATGATCAGGGTCGGAGCCTGAAGTTGCCTCTCCCTGAAGATTGCACGGTGCATAAATTAACCCCATGTAAACATCTGCTCTCTGACTCTCCCACACCATCACGGCACCTGAGCCTGGGGGGGCTGCAGATCTGCTCTGAAGGACTTACAAGTACCACAAACAGTTTTAATCAGAGTTACATGCCACATTATCCTGCTTCCAAGAAAAGCCCTTATGGACTCAAAGTCCTGAGGTTTCGGTGATGAAACTGAAACCCTCCATCTGCACAGTAGGAGAAATTCAATGTTCAGAAAAGACCATATTTATAAAATGAAAAGATGAATCATAATTTGTTTTTAAAGTTACCTCTAAAAGGAGAGAGGGAATCCAGTAGAAGGCACAATAACTGCAGCCTTCTTTAAAAAAAGCCTCTTTTGTTGATTTGACTTTGAAATCATAAAAACATAAATTTTTAAAAAGAAATTACTAAAATTTCAGAGTAAAATGAAGCAAATGTAGCTAAATAAACAGCCATCCAGTTGTTAGCATAACCATACAAAAAAGAACTATTAAAAGTAGCTTTAAACAAAATTTGAAAATACATTCCCTGTGTGATATACCCACCCTAAGGATAATAAGAACTACTGCAAAAAAATCTTACAGTGCTTCCAGAAGTCACATTATGGGTGAT